AACCCTATTTTGGGGGATACATTCTTGAGAACTGTTTTGGCCCACACAATTAGGATTTCATATAAAATGAGGAGCTGGAAGAATTTTAAATAGCATTAAATGAAGGTTCCAGAGGGCAACGGGCCTGCCCAAGAGTATGAATTCGTCAGCTTTAAACATTTGTTCTTCTGGATACTCAGCCCTTCCCCTGAACCAACTTCACTTGTTTCAAAAAAATACTATTTCAGTGTTAGAAGCTGGTAAGGTGGTTTCTCCCCGATTTTTTGTATTATACAAATTATAGATATTTTAATGTGTCTTTCACTGTTAGAAAAGCAATATACTTTACATTTTGTCTTTTCTTCTTGAACGGGTAATATATCTTCATGGTTCAAAAGTCCAAAGGCACAACGAACAGAGTGAAAAGTTCCTGACATCCTGCCCCCAACTGCTCAGTCACTCCCAGAGGTAATTGGTGCTATTAATTTCTTGTGTAATCTCCCAGAAATACTTTGCATATACAAGCAAATACATTATCCATCTTTTCTCTCCCCACTTTTTACACAAATGGTAACATAGTATGCACTAGTTTATATACTGCTTTTTTTTTTTTAACTGACTGTATCTTGGAGTTTGTCCCACATTTGTACAGAGAAAACTTCTTCCTGTTTGAAGTTTGCATAGTATCCCATGCTATGCACACAGTGTACTTTTTTTTTAAACTAGTCATGTACTGATAGATATCTGGGTTATTTCAGAGTTTTTCCATTACACATAGTGGTTCAAGGAATCAACCTTGTATATACGTCATTTCATTCACAATTTTATCTGCATGCTAACTTTCTCAGAAGTAGAAAGACTGATACAAACTGACACCCCACAGCAGTGAATGCAGGTGCCTCTTTCTCCGTAAGGTATTATCACACTTTTTGACGGTCAACCCGACAGGTTTAAAGAGTATCGTTTTAGTTTGCATTTCCCATATTGTAGGTGAGGTTGAGTTGTCATGTTTAAGAGTTGTCCATATTTTCCTTTTCTGAAAATAAGTTTGTTTATATCCTTTGTCCATTTTCCCACTGGATTCCTGTCCTTTCCTTATTGATTTGTATGAAAATTTGTTCAAATATTTCTGCAAAAATTTTCCCCAGTTCTTCATTTGTCTTTTGATTTTTCTTATTGTGGTTTTGTCATGAGATTCTTATGTATGTGGATTCTGACATATCAGCAAGGCCATCCCATCTCTAAGATCAAGAAAAAAATTGCCATGGTTTCTCCACGTAATTTTATGGTTTCACATTTTCTGTTTACATTTCTAATCCATCTGGAATCCATTCTGAAATAAGGTATGAGGTTTGTCACAGTTATTAGGTTCCATCAAGTCGATTCTGACTCATAGTGACCCCTATGTGCAACTAAACAAACCACTGCCTGGTCCTGCACCATCCTCACAATGGTTCCTGTGCTCGAGCCCATCGTTGTAACCACTGTGTCAGTATGTCTCGCTGGGGATCTTCTATGTTCATTCCAGATACTACTCAGTCGTTTCAATTTACTGTACCCTATACTTCTATTCCTGCTATGTATGCAAGTTTTGGAAAGATGATCTTTTCACAAATTGTCCAGCTGCTTACTCAACAGTTTTCTGGGTCTGCTCTCTGTTTGACCATGTGAAGGGGGTCAGTGCAGAAAGAGCACTCTCTGTGTTGTTGTACAGTAACACCTATTCAGTCCACAGAAACAGGAAGCATATAATTGTAGCTCTGATGGAGTAGATAGATAATTACATGTATTCAAAGAGAGTCTAGTTTTTAAATTTCAAAATATAAATTTTAAAAAGTGAGTTATCACAAAAATCTTGGTGACCAAACTACAACTAGGAGAATTGCTGTAAATCCAGTTTATAAACTAACGAAAATAACATTCCATGATGGCATTTGCAGTGTTTGAACAAGGAAAATTCCAAACATGACATCAAATCTCTGGGAAGCCAAAAGCACAAACTGTAGACGTGAGATGTCTTCCATAGAAATGTGACATACCTCCAAGTGTCTAACCCATCCTCAAGCACAGGGAAAGTCCTTCAAGTGGAATGAAAGTAGTAAGAAGAAGGCCAAAGTCCTCGGAATACAGCCTAATACATGAGTAAGATCAATAAAGCTGACTAAATTCTGAAATACTGGTAAGTGTAAGATACAACCAAGAGGGCAAAGCACATTATTTGTCAGCACGATAGAAACTGTAAGCATTTGTTGAAAAGGGAAGGTATAAACAGTCTTATCTTCATCATGACTTCCTCAAACTGACCACAAAAATCTTCAAAAATTACATTTTACAAAGATACAAAAATCAATTTTAGTGTAAACAGGAAGTAAAATAGGAAAGATATCTTATTAGCTCACTTACCATACCCACTTAAATTCAACACAGAGAAATCAGTAAAAATAATTCCTACAAGATAGTAATGATATTATCAGTATTATTGATATAAGTACTAAAAAATAGGAGAAGTTCACCATGTTAGATAAGTCAATGAAGTTAACTGTGGGACCCCCCCCAAGAAAATAGCCATTTAGTTTGTGTTACCCTGTAACTCTGAACATTCCATCAAATGTGTTAACTGTTAAAGAAGTTAAAACACCAACTAGCACTCTCTGAAAGCTATTTGCCAGGCATTATAAAAACATATTGCATGTTATTAGTTAATCCCCACGATCCTAGGATCCCAGTTTTACAAAATTAAGATGGGAGTTCAGACACTTGCCTGAAGTCACAATACCTATTACTAAGCAGTGCCGCTAGCTCATATACTGCACATCAGAGCCCTGATGAAGTGTATGTGACTCCTGAGTGCGGGTAATACGAGGGAGTTGTATAAACACTGCTTCAACTTATACAAAAGTGCAACTCAAGCCTGTTTCGTACCTTCCGTCTTTCAGGTCCGCCAAACGCAATGTGCCGAGCTTCCTCCACAGTCTCACAGACGAGGCCATTTCCACACACAAAATGAATCACTTTCTTCAGCTGAGGAAACTGCGTCTTTATAACGTCGATCACCATCTTGCAGCCTTTAATCTCTCTCAACCGCTCATTGATTGGCTTGATCTAAAAGGTTTAAAAAATACTTGATGCAGTAGATACGCTAAAATCACCCCAAACGCTCACTGCGTTCTTTCCCGCAAACATGAATAAGCATGACACAGAAGATCAATAGTGGGCTCTTCTATAGTGTAAGCCTGACAAGGACTTGGGGGCTGTGTCCCATCACTGCTTGTTTATTAGACAGGCAAACTAACCACTTCATCAGGAGCCAGCAGATGGAATTTCCAGATCCCTTGTTGTCACTAACTAGGTGGTTAGTGCATGAGAGGGCTCCATGCTCTCAGAGCGGTAAGATCCCACTGAGATCATGTGCAAAGAGTGGCTCAGCACCCTGGGACTTAAAACATCACGTTAGGCTTAAATAAATCATCAGAGAGTCTCCAGACCTTGTTGGATATGACTTATAAGTGGGATCTACAAATACATCAAAAAATGTCCACATATATTATTCAAAAAAAGCAAGTATGATCTCACTTTGTAAAGCAAGTCCAAATAAAGCAAAACCAACAACAAACCCTGTGTAACCAAAACGTGTGTATATGTACTGGGAGTTGCTGTTGTTTAGTGCCACCAAGTTGATCCCAGCTCACAGCAGCCCTATGTGACAGAGCAGAGCTCCCCATGTTTCCCAGGAGCAGACCAGCAGGTCTTTCTCCAAGGGAGCCACTGGCTGGGTCAGAACCACCAACCTTTTGTTTGGCAGCCAAGTGCTTAACCTTTGTACTAGAGGGCTGCTTACTTGGGAGTACAGCCCTCTATAAATTGGTGTAGAGGTTGTCTACACAGTTACCAGTAAGGCACAGAATTGGGCACTGGAAGGGGTAGGAGCAGTCCCTTTCTACTTGATACATTCTGTATCAGATTTTTTAAAAAATGACTGTGCCTTGACAAGACTCTCAAGTGAGGAGTAAGTGACAGGGTTTTAGTAGGGAAGTAAATTAGGGTAAGACGTTTCAGTGGGCAGAAGGCATAAGGAAAGCATGGCAGTACAAAAGGCAGGCCTGGACCCTAGCCACACCAGCAGCCAGCACTGACTGAGCAACTTCCATACACCCAGCACAGAGTTGGGGGCTTCACTGGGATCAAGTCCCGCAGTGGGGTAAGTACCGATCCCTCCACTTCACAGAGGAAGAACTGAAGCTTAGAAAAGTGAAGGAGGAATGAGGGCGAGTGCATTCGAAGTGGCTGACCTTCACAGGCACCTGCTCTCGGCTGCGATGCACACTGCCTGCCATTCACGGTCTTGACTGCTGGCTTCAACAGAGTATTTTCTTTAGCAGCAATGAAAATCCTCACCAAAGGATCTCAATCAGGATGATGACAGGGATTTAGACTCTGGATAGTCTACAACTCTCCACACATAGTTCAAGGCTCAAAATGTAGCCTCTGCCACCAAAAGCTGACAAGCTGGACCAGGTATTTACAAGTAGGGGTCTGGGTGGGCCTTCCCTCAGCAGCCTGTGCAGCCCATCCTCCTCCTATGATCTGTTGGCTGGGGGGTAAGGAGAGTACTGCCAGAGCAATGGCCTCAAAGCACCATGGTGGAATTACAGCCAAACTAGTCAGGAAGGAATGGCAGGAGGGCAGGAAAGACATGGCACCCACCGCTAGTACTCTCTGCCCACCAGTTCATTTAGACTGGCCGTTTAGGTGACAGGCTGACTGCCACCCAAGCTTCAATTGTGTCAGTCTCTATGGTAGGTTCAGGCAATAAAGACATACTTCAACAGAGAAGATTTTATCACTACTAAATACTAAGACTGCAAATTTCTTACATCAAGGTAATCTAGAGCAAGGAATGTCTCCGGTTCAGCTCGCTCCTCTTTCAGAAATCGAATACAGTCTTTCGCTACTTTTTCCGAGGCTACGACAATAGCAACCATGTACCGACCAAAAACCTTAGTAACAGCCAGCTGGTATTTCTTGTGAATAGGATGGCATAGGTCGAGCAGTCTTCCAAACTTAACAGGTTTCAAAAAAGGAGAGAAAAGAAGATACCATCAGTGAGGAACATTATACTTCATTGTCTGCTAATGTAACAAAACAGCGGAGACCAGAAAATAGTTTTATAAAATCATAAACATCAAAATTTAGTAGAGATTCTACATTCAAATGAACTAAATTTCATTATAAAAAAAAGATCATTTAGGTTGTCACTGTGAAATGACACTTAAGACTCAGGAGGAGGGATTAGTTTTACCAAAGTAGTCAAATATTTTACAAAGCTACAGTAATTAATATTCATTCACCCATCCCTAGTTGAACAAGGATCTGAGGCACCTACTGTGTGGTTCACCTAGGAGTGAGCCAGACACTGGGTAAGATTACTCTCTGACCCCACAGAGCTTTTTACTACATAGGAAGACAGACACACGTAACCAGTCATTGCAGGCATGCGCGACATGGAGTGATAACAGATGCAGGGACAGAAAGCCCAGTGCACTCTGGGAGCATGTAATGGGGACCAGCTTGGTCCTAAGAGGTTGGGGAAGGCTTCCCGTGAAGAAATCTTATTTGAGCTGAGGATTAAGAATTAGACTGCAGTTCAAATTGAGAACCCAGAAGTAAATCAATCCACCTAAGTGTTTAAGCATAGTGTCTAAAGCACTTGACTGCTAACCAGGAGGCTGGCAGTTCAAACCCACCAGCCACTCCTTGAAAGGAAAGTTGGGCAATCTACTTCTGTAGTGATACTGCCTCAGAAACCCAAGGAGGGGTCACTATGAGTAGGGTCTGACTCAATGGCACATAACAACAACAACAACAACAACAAGTGTTTAAGAGCTAAGATGTCACTTTGAAGACCAAGGCATGTATGACCCAAGCCATGGTATTTTCAGTTGCCTCATACACGTGAGAGCTGGACCACAAATAAGGAAGACCGCAGAAGAACTGATGCATTTGAATTATGGTAATGGTGAAGAATACTCAATGTACCATGGACTGCTAGAAAAACAAATAAATCTGTCTTGGAGGAAGTACAGCTGGAATGTTCCTTAGAAGTGCGTGTGGCCAAACTTCATCTCTCGTACTTTGCTCATGTTGTCAGAAGGGACCAGTCCCTGGAGAAGATATGATACATAGTAAAGTAGAGGATGAGCAAAAATGGGGAAGACCCTCACCTGAGATGGACTGACACAGTGACTGCGGCAATGGACTCAAGCATGGCCATGGCGTGAGGATGACACAGGACGGGGCAGTGTTTTGTTCTGTTGTAACGGGGTCACTATGAGTTGGAACTGACTCACCAGCACCTAACAACAACATGGACAGGTGATATTTGACAAAGAGCTGAAACTCACTAAATGAGGACGAGGCTGCCTCTTTAATAAATGGTGTTGGCAAAACTGGATATCAATCTGTAGAAAAACAAACCATATCTCACATCATATGCACAAATGGGCTCAAGTTGGATCAAAGACCTGAAAGTAAAACCTAAAATTATAAAGACCATCAAAGAAAAAATAGGGACAAACTTAAGGGCCCTAATGTTGTTGTTAGGTGCCATCAAGTAGTTTCCGACTTATAGCGACCCCATGCACAGCAGAATGAAACACCACCCGATCCCGCGCCAGCTCCATGATCCTTGCTATACTTGAGCCCACTGTCACAGCCACTGTGTCAATCCATCTGGTTGAAGGCCTTCTCCTCTTTTGTTGACCGTCCACCTTACCAAACATGACATCCTTCTCCAGGGAATGGTCCCTTCTGACAACATGACCAAAGCAGGTGAAACAAAGTCTGGCCATTCTCGCTTCCAAGGAGCATTCCTCCAGGACAGATCTGTTAGTTCTTTTAACAGTCCATGGTACTTCCAGCATTCTTCACCAGCACCACAACTGAAAAGCAT